TGTCAGAAGAACGGTAATATGGGAGATGGCAACCGAATCAGATCTTCACGCCTGGGACGACATCTTCCTTTTTTTCTCTTTCTTTTCTTTTTCTCAACCGCGGTTGTGAGTAAGTAAGGTACGTTCTACCTAGTTTTAACGTCACTGTTGGCCCTTCCCTCCTTCCCTCCGCTCGCTTGTGCGAACTTAAGAGCGGGGTGAACCTCACAAATTGCGAAGCAGAGGCAGGAACGAGCGTCGTGCGATGGTGGAGGTCACAGAAGTCAAATGGAAAGTGCCATTGCCGGAGTGAGTCGTGACTGATGGGATGGAGAAGATGAAGGGGCATTTCGATATTCACTGAAGATCGAACAGTTGGTATGATGCGTATTGAATGCAGACGGCGGACAGTCCTAATTTCCGTTATGAAGGATGTGGATGGTTGGGAGACGTCTGTGACTTCCCCTTCCCCCTTCTTCTCCTTCATCTCCATCCTTTCCTTGATGCTTGGCCGCAGAGGAATGACCAGAGGCGCGCTACCTGTCGAGAGGATGTTTCCTTCCTATTTTACCGTGACCTTCAAAAGCAGATGTACCTTCCGCGTAACTTACATGTCGGTTGGTTCCTTCCTGCCTTCGTTGTTGAAAAGTCGTGAGGACGGGAAAGTGCAGTTCCCGGAACGCACCCGAGACCCCGAAAGCATAATACGAGGGAAGGAGCAACAAATGCTGGTTTGGTGTTGGGTGCCATGGGAAAAAAAAAAGCGGTTGTTTGGCGGGACGACCGTTAATTTCTTCCTCTTCCCGTCTTCTCAACGAGCCTTGAACTCTCATCAATCGACCAAGACACATCTCAAAACTCTTTTGTCTGAAACCATCGTCCTCCCGCGCGTCCGTGACTTCGATAAGCTGTTGGGAAGGCGCGTTTGGCGCACTGACCAGCACAGTATAAAACAGTAGTTGGCCCCGCAGTTAGATAGGTTTCTTAGCTCTTACAATACAACCCACCATTGTTGATCAGTCAATCCCTTTCCTTTGTCGCGCGCCGCTGTGCCGCACTGTCAACGACAAGAACCTGAACCTGTCGCATACCTTATCGATTCACGATAAGACCAGTAATGAGTGAGTACCTCTACGGATACGGCGAGTCGGCGACCATACGAAGCATCGACGACCATCGCCGCGTGTTCGTTTTGTGTCTTGTCTCATCACGACATCAAACAACAAAGTTCGCCTCACAGCACGCAATAGGGACAATGACACGATCCAACGATCAATGACCGGATTCGGGTGAATCTCGGCCGAGATCCGAGAGTGCCGGGCTCCGGAGCGCGGGAACGACGGCTGTCGGCGGGTATTGATGAGTTTTATTGACTCTCACCGTCGTTCACCTCAAAGCTCACTGACCTCCTCATTCACTATCAGAGGCAGCGAGATGTCTCCGGCACCATGCCGAAGAACGCACTAGCAGAGAAGTTCGCAAGCGCCATGGTCGCCGTTGTCGGCGGTGACATTGAGTCTGACTCTACCAAAGAGGATGACTGATATTGGCCAAGAGCGGTAGAATTCAACCTCGGCATTGGCACTCGGAGGGTCCAGGGCGCCGTCACCGGTGAGCTCTGTCAGTGTCACCCTCGAGGAAGCGCGCACGGAAAAGAAAGAAGCCAAAAGTCAAAACAGCGAATTGGAAATTGATGAGGCCGGGGAGGGAAAGCTGGCACGTGGGTGGGCACCTGGAAGGCTCGGCTCCTCCCGGAAGACGGAAGTATTTCGGGAAAGACATCAGAACCACACCGGATCAGCCAGAGTCCACCAAAACACGAAACGCGCGACACGGCATCCTTCAGTTCACGGCTGCGACGGGTCGTTATCACGGTAATGATCCACGATTCTTCTGTCTCCCTGGGCCGTGTCAGATCAGTTCGGTCTGCTCGGATCTGATAAGAAGCTGTCACCTCAGCACCTGGGCGGTGGACGGATGGTTCGAACTTTTGAACTTGTCGGCTGGATGGTTCGGACGCTGCGGTGTGGAGAACCCTTGTTCGCCAATTGACCTTCTCCAACTTCTCCATGGTGTTGCGACGCTGCGACGCTGGCACGCAGCACGCTGGACACGATCGCTGGCGGTGACATTCCGCTCGTCCTTGGCGGGCTGGCGGCTGGCAGCTATCAGCGACTGCCCGTTACCGGCCGGCAACGGTGCCGCACAGGCAACAAGACGGCTCGTGCACCCCTTTTCCTCTCTGTTCTCCAAGTTTCATCTCCGTCGGCCCTCACCTCTCCCCTGACAGCTTCATCGTGCCAAATCCCCGGCCCCCGCAAAATCACAAGCTCCGTCGGCCTTCCGCTCTTCGAATCGGCTTTTAGCTACGTCACATAACCATCACAAGCCAGTCGACATCGCCAATTGTTCGTCCTGACACCAGACTGGACGAGACTTGTCGAATGCGGTGACACTAGAAGACCCTTGAAGCGAATTTCCCATGAATGCCCGTCTCGCATCTGACAGGCAAGGCATGAGAGTCACGAGGACAGTTCCATTCTCCGACGGCCTGGCAGATTGGCCACGAGGATGCCTGACTCTTGTCGTCTCTCAACTCTCGAACAGCAGGTGTATGTCCCTGTTGTCAATTTGAATGCCTGGGAAGAGGTAAAGCCGTGTGCAAGCGCCGTCCCAGTCCCCTTTTCATGGAGTTCTCCAGCGTCTTCACGCAATTCCGCTTCTTCTCTTGGCATTCCATTTTTCTCTTTGTTTGACTTTCCAAGAACATGGAATTGCTTGTCATGCTTTGATCACCCCGGGCTCGGCGCTGGCCAGAAAAGAAGCTTTTGTGTACCAAAGTTGGTCGTTGGTATGCGATCAACATGGTGGTTGTGCCAGGGGTGCAGCTGTTGAGCGTGGCAGGTGACAAGTTGCCAAATGCCATGTCAATGTCGCTGTACAACGGACCACCGAACGGCCTGACGGGCAACCGGGCGCAGAGGCGGGAGGGAGCGTGCGTGTAAGTGCCGCGTCTTCTATCCAGTCATTTGGCTTCTCCGCCGATTTTGTTCCCTCCGCTGCTCCGAATGACGGGGCTTGGGGCTCATCCCATATGTCCGGACTTGTGACAGCTTGTCATACTCATTCATCGCAGTTGATTCAACTTGAATCGCCAACGCCACTCTCACAGAAGAGTGAGATGGTCGCAAAGATCAATGGTTACTGGCACTCTCGCTGGGGGCTTAATGTCGTCCCTTTCTGTCATGTCTGGTCCTATTCTTGGTCCCATGCTCTCTGACCCTTTGCACTGCTTGCACGCACCATGCACGTTCTCCGTCACAACTTGTCATTGGCCAATGCACCACATTTTAAAAGAAAAGGAACAAAATCTGTGTCCATCGTTGGGCGTCTCGTCGTCCATGTCGTCCACCAAGATATTCTTTTTAACCATCCAGCAACGTCGCCCTCGTCCAACTGTCACGCCAAGTATTCCGGGGTTGCGGATATATGGAAAGCCACCAAGTCACCTCAATTCTGCCAGGAACCACTGTGACCACCACGGACGAATCATAACCGCCAAATTCCCCAAAAGGGCCACTAGAATCCAGGAATTCTTGCGTGTCCCTGGCCTCACCACCGCCTGCAGTGAGCTCTGGTCCCTGTGGTTACTGCGACGTCGTTATCCACAACAGTGGACCAGTCCTTCTCGTGTCTTCTCTGTCCGGGCCCCAAGTCCCAGTTCAACCACTGCCACAGGTACCAACGAGGCTCAACAAAGAGCAACGGTACCTCCATCTCCAGCTTCGGCCATCCCTGGCCCATCGTCATGCAGCCGCGGGAGTTCTAGCGCTCGCTGGCAATTCCAGGCCACACCTCACGACCTCTGTGGCTCTGTCAATCCGGGACGGTACACACGGGGCACCACCGCTTCTTCCTTTTCCTGGAGACGCTGTTACAGGTCGCCGGGCCACCGCGGTGCTCGGCTCGGCTCTGTCCTGAGATCTGCGTCATATGGAAGATTCCGAGTTGTCCGACCTGACTGTATCGAGCAAAGTCACGGCCAGAGAACAAAGACGCTTAATGGGCAAGGCTTGGCATCTCAAACCTTCTTTTTTTTTTTGTACATGTTGAGAAGAGATGGCACATGCCCTCGTTATAAGTCGTCGTGATAGTTACACTGCTACGATAGCTTGCCGTCGTCGTTGACACCCAGCTCCATATTCTCCGCCTGCCTCCCCTTACCCGACTCCAACTCCCTTTTTTTACCATTCTTTTTAACCGCTGCTAGCAGGTCCTCTGCTGTCTCCATCGCCGTGAGCACGGGAGTGGGGTCCGATCTACCAAGTCCTACGTTTCCGGTGTTAACAATCCTCCTTACCACTGACTCGCGCCCAAACCGGTCTCGTCCTTGGCAAGTCCGGGTGTCATCCTGTCTCGCCGCGACTCTATTCTGGTCGGATATTTGCCGGGAACTCACGTTGTACTGCGAAATCACATATATCTGGAAGGGTTCATCTGCTGTCTTTTTTACGCTTTGTGATCCTGTATCGCCTATCCTCTTCGTGGTTCACGGCAACAACGTTCATCCATCCAAGCCAGCTCATCCCAGCCTTGTCTCTGTCCTTCTCCAGACACGGCTAACTAAAATTCCCCCACACCGAGCTACGTCCCGTACCAAGTTACAGGGGTTGTCAACTTTAGCAGCCATCCCGAGACTTTTTCGGTGATTTCCCTGGAGTGCCGAACTTCGCGAAGCGGACTCTCTTGTCTCAAGACTAGCCCACACCAACCCACCTCCATTCCTCGGTCCATACCCCCTGTGGATACACCATTGATATATCCAACAAGGCCACCCAGATCATTTCTCCCTTTTCGCTCCTACTTCTTCTCTTTTACGGGGGAATTACCACTTGAACACTACATACACGGACCTATACCGACGACTTTGTCACCGTTGCGCCGAACCGGTTTAACACCACTTACATCGAACACCACCATCCTTCAACACCACACACCACACACATACACAAACCGCAGCAATGGCGACCAAGGTCAACCAGGATCCTAAGAAGCGGACTTCCGCTGCCACCAACCTCGTCGGTGAGCTTCACACAGCTGGAGAAGAGATGAGACGGAAGGCTACTCGCGCGCAATGCGCTGGGCAGTCTGCTCGTGGTGTATTAAGAACAAGCTGCTAACATTCCTATGCGACTACAGCTGGTGGTGGTGCCGGTATGATGGAGGCTCTCGTCTGCCACCCTCTCGGTAAGCAATCCCTTATTGCATGGCCTCGCTGCGCCTTAAACCCCGGACTGCGGCTAACCTCGGCATTCCCGCAGATACCATCAAGGTCCGCATGCAGCTTTCTAAGCGCGGCCGCGTGCCTGGCCAAGCCAAGCGCGGCTTCATCAAGACCGGTGTCGAGATTGTCAAGAAGGAGACCGCTCTCGGTCTCTACAAGGGTCTCGGTGCCGTCCTGACCGGTATCGTCCCCAAGATGGCCATCCGCTTTACCTCGTTCGAGTGGTACAAGCAGCTCCTTGCCGATAAGCAGACCGGTATTGTCTCCGGCCAGGCTACCTTCTTCGCCGGTCTTGCTGCCGGTGTTACCGAGGCCGTTGCCGTCGTCACCCCCATGGAGGTCATCAAGATTCGTCTCCAGGCCCAGCACCACTCCATGGCTGATCCTTTGGACGTTCCCAAGTACCGCAACGCCGCCCATGCGCTCTACACTGTCGTCAAGGAGGAGGGTTTCGGTGCGCTCTACCGTGGTGTTTCCCTGACCGCTCTCCGCCAGGGTTCCAACCAGGCTGTCAACTTCACTGCTTACAGCTACTTCAAGAAGTGGCTCTATGAGTGGCAGCCCGAGTACGTCGGCCAGAACCTGCCCTCTTACCAGACCACCCTCATCGGTCTCGTTTCCGGTGCCATGGGTCCTCTCTCCAACGCCCCTATCGATACCATCAAGACCAGACTCCAGAAGAGCGTTGCTCAGCCCGGCGAGTCGGCGCTCCAGAGAATTACCAAGATCTCTGGTGAGATGTTCAAGTGAGTAGCATCCCGTACCTTTCTCTGTATCATAGCGGTGGTCGGCTACTAACCTAAATGCGACAACAGGCAAGAAGGTTTCCACGCCTTCTACAAGGGCATCACCCCCCGTATCATGCGTGTCGCGCCCGGCCAGGCCGTCACCTTCACCGTCTACGAGTTCCTTAAGCAGAAGATCGAGCGGACTGGCCCTGCTAGCCTGACTGGCGAGAGGTACGAGGAGTGATTGTGTGTGAATTGAAAAAAAAGTGTGATGATCGCGATGACGTTGATGAACGATGATGGGTTGAGGCGATTGGAACATTAGCCGAGGATCCCTGTCGATGTTGTCTTGGTGCGCTGTCACATGCACGGATTGGACACGCCCTCTTGTTTTCCCCCACACCCCCTGTTACGTTTTCCCCTTGTTGTCTTTTGCATGTGGTTTTTCTTGTCTTGGACTGTTGGGTTGGTTCTGTCAAAAGACGTCGGTCATGGTGTCGGTGATGGCGGGGAAAAGTCTCTGGTCACGGCGATTGATTGTATATACCCTTCTTCTTTGTTGGGGCGTACCGCATTGATGCATTTGGTGGTATCTAGTGGATTCTACTTTGACGTTTTGGCTTATTGCGTTCTGCTTTGAGTCAACTATTTGCATCGCGAGAAGTCACACTCTTGTATCATGATGGAAGAGAATATGGGCTAAAACTGGTTGATTTTACAGCAAAGCTGAGGCTAAGCTCTAAGCTCTGATTTCACACGACATTGACGAGCGTTTTTCAACTTTTTTTTTTTTACACAACACATCATTGCATCATTTCAGCGGCGCATGCACACAACTAGAGTTCGATCGTCATACATCACCACCTTGCATATACGCAATTCACAACGCACATACACGATACGGGGTTCATAGCACACAGCACAAAGGACGAGCACAGCAAAGCGGCATAGCGATCAGCAGGATGGGAGGCAACGCATCATTGTCAACCACATTACGGGACCTCAAGACACGAGACGCGACGCTCAGATGAGCAAAACGATCGTTGTCTTGTCCCAGTGTTCCAGCCCAACATCAGCTTCAGCACCCCGGCGATATCATCGACGCCGCATTCCTTAATTCGGTTGTATTCGGAGTTTGCGGCGCGGCGATACGGCGACTTGGGTACGGCCTGCTGTTGGGGTTTTTCCATGTTCATGTACATATGAGGTTTAAGATGACGAGCGGAGACCTGGAAAGGCGGTACGGATGGAGGAGGGCTTTTAAAAGGCATGGGTAGATGGATGGGAATAGAGAAAACGAACGGCTTTGGATATATGTTGGTTTTTCTCCTAACCTCACATTTTCTTTTTTTGTCTTTTGCATCATGGCATGGCATGGCATTAGCATTCATTGCATGTATGGAATGGGTGGAAGGTCTTGAATATCACTTTTTTTTGAAGAACTTACACTGGCATTTCTTATGATGGCGTTTCTCCCAATGGCATTCACGATGGTGGAAGGGACTTGTGCGAAGAGGAACGAGGAACACGGCACGGGGATGATCTACGCAATCTTCAAATGCGGTTCCTGACGTCGAAGTCCCTGCGAGCGACATATGCAGGTACATCTCATGACCAACATCCCCTGTCCGAACGTGGGTTTTGGGTTGGGTAACTCCCGTCCTAAATAAAGCCTCGGTCGGGTCGGACATTGACTTGTCCGTCCGTGGTATCTCTGATGGCAATATGTACATAGAGGTACATCTGCTCCAAGTCCGACTGACTGACTGACGACCTCGGGTTGCCCATTATCCCGATTCCTGGCTTCCGCCAACAATCTTACGGGAACACCACAAGCAGTCGCATGCCGGGTTGCCGACACTTCCAGAGCTCAGGTCGTCTCTTGTCTCAGCACTCGAGTCTCGAATATTCCAGCATGTGTGCTTAACAGTCGACACTAGTCCATAACACCCTGTCATTATAACAGGCTGTGAGACACTTGAGATTCACGGTTGATCGAAAAGTACCAGCAGAGTACCTCTACAAATATGTGGAGGAGTAACCGATGGGAACGCCAATCCTGTGGTTCAGGTCGAAGTTGATTGCCCACCTAGAGATAGGTAGCTTTTTCATCCTTCTTCTTTTCCTCTCTCTTTCTTTCCCACTATTTTCCCCTCTTGTTGCTCCATGACTTCCTTCCAAGCGCCGAGGAGGGGAGTTGTGGGTTGCGGACTGGGCAGGACGAGAGGGGTAGAATCGGAATGAGGAAAAGAGGAAAAAGGAAATATCGGGAAAGAGCGAACAAAAGCAGGCGTAGCCGAGAATGGGAAGTCAAATCAAACGAGTCGATAAAGGGGACGACAAAAAAGGCAAAGGGACAAGGAAGACTCCAGAGAAGGAGACACAGGAGAAAGATGAGAGATTACGGGAATAAATGGATTCCGCAATGGATACCAATGGAATGATTGGAACCGAATGATCGACCGGACCGGACCGTCCTGAGGAACCGAGAGGGATAGATCTACGTACTTCTTAGGTATGTCCCATACCCAGACAGTGTCCCCGACTTCATCTACTCCTTACTCCTTCAAATATCTCTACCGGTCTCCCATGCAGGTGTATTGCCACGAGATTATCATCCTAGACGTACTGAAGCTGCAAAAGTTTAACAGACCCCAGCCCAACGTCTTGACAGGCTCCGTGGCCTCTACCAGGAGAAAACATGAATACATCTACCTACCACCCTCGTTCGCTTCAAAGAAAAGTGGAAGAAGCCAACAGTCCTCGACCCATCTGTGGACTGCGGACCACTCTCCTGGCATGAACGATGCTCGATCGGTCGGTCCGCAAATGATAGTTAACCTAAGGTACAGTGAGGCAGCTCATGCTCACCAATTCGGGAATTCCATGCCGTCCAGACACTCCAGACACTCCAGACACTTCAGACACTCCAGACACTCCAGACACTACAGGTCTCGGACAAGCCTACACCTTGTCAATCCCAATCCCTACCTATGCGCATTTTTAATAGGAGCGGGACGCTCAGATGATCATGTTCGGTCATGACTTGATCAAAGTAGCGCGTGGCGAATGACGTTGAGTAGTCAATGGGAGAGTGGGAGGGGAGAAGATAGAAGATAGAAGAAGAAGAAGAAGAAGAA